TGCTAAAACCATGTTGATAATCTGATCATACCCGTCGTGCCAAGTAGCCATGCACTCGCAGATATCCACGCATTGAGTTTGAATTTGTTCTTTCAAATCCAATGAACATTTTACCGAATTTGTTTTGTGAATGAATTGAATTGCAACTCAAAAAAGTCTATCGTTTTTAGAAACTGCTAGACGGTTTTAGCGGTATAAAATGATTGAACAAGTTGTCATCCAATGTCCACCCACGCTTAAAGTTCTACCCCATTGGGTTCCGCTATGAACCGCAATATATGCTGCTCTTGGGTCGCCAATTTCCTGACGCTTGTTTTTCAGAGCTTTACAGAACGAATTATACCACACTGCGTCCTATTGGAACCATAATCCCACTGCAGAGCGCAGCAGCCATAGCGAAGCTGATCCGTTCATTTTTTTTTTCACTTCCTGCAGAAGCCCATGTTGGAGCCAGAACTGCTTTCACCTAATTAACATCTTTCACATGCATGCTAATGGGAAAACGAATGTCCAATCTTTACTTTTGTGTGAAGAGTGCTCCCTAAATCTGATGCCTTCCCCTGATTCCTCCTCCAGTCCCCTGTTTTCTTTCCCCCACTCTACTTTCTCTTCTATTTTGCTTCAATGGTGGGGTTTTCCAATCTTCCATAAACCTGTGCCAACCATAATTGGTATATAAAAGCCACAGTTTTGGTACTGTTCATTAGTGGCCCACACGTTTCCTATTTGCGACTGGTGGAGGCCCAAATGTTTGGTCTTAAGTGACCCACGTGCTCGCCTTCTCCTCTCACAAAGAGATCTGCCAATCTCTTTTACCCCACTCGCTAACAAAGAAACCCTGAGCTTTAGCTTTACCAATTGGACAATCCCCCACCTCTTCCTCTTCATACGCAACCATCTATCCCTCTCTCCTTCCTCTGTATCTCCTTTCACCCCTTCTCTTCCCTCACCTGCTCCCCTGTCAAGTTTCACTTGCCATCTCTCTTGCACAATTTTTTTGGGTGCTCTTCTCCTCAGCCATAGGTAACTCTTCATTTACTTTTGTTGCTTGGAATCCATTCCCCCTGCTTTTGCCATTGCTGATCTCCTTTTGTGGCATTTTCGGTTGAATCCCAATCTCAAACTCATCTCTCTCTTCCACCCTAGAATCTCATGTTTCGCAGCATACTCTATACGGCAGAATCCCAGGTCACGCTCTTCCTCTCCTGCTGTCGAAGAAGAACGAGAAGAGGAATCACAGGTCTCAATCTCTCACTCTGTCCTACTGTTGGAGAATGAAAAAAAAGGAGAATCATTGGAAAAGAGAAAGAAGATGAAGAGTCATTTGTTATCATTCTGTTTCTAGCCCGATGAGTTACGCAACAGTGATGCAATCTCCGACAAAGGGAGATCACTCTGTGGGATTGGGTCGATCGGCCATTGACGGCAGAGAAGGGTGACATAGCACCAGAAGCAGGGAGAAGATATATCCCAACCTTACAAGAGCTCCACGCTTACACGAGGTGACTTCCCTTCTACTCTCCTCTCTCAACTTTACCAGAATTATTGGGTCTCTCTCATCGCAATCTTAGTTGCTTTGTACAGTACCCCATTTCCCTTTGGTTGCGCCACACTAACAAAAAACTGATTCATGAAATGAAACGGAAACGATGCTGGGCCTGTTGGAAGTGACTTGGTTCGACAACAAGCTGGGAGCACCACAAAAGATTTTTGATTAAACGTACGAGGTCACTTCCCTTCTACTCTCCTCTCTTAACTTTACCAGATTATTGGGTCTCTCTCGTCACAATCGTAGTTGCTTTGTACAGTACCCCATTTCCCTTTGGTTGCGCCACACTAGCAAGAATCGACTCATGAAACGAGACGGAAGCGATGCTGGACCTGTTGGGAGTGACTTGGTTCGACAATAAGCTGGAAGCGCCACAAGAGCTTTTTGATTCAACGTGCTTGGAAGTTTGTCGATTCAGGTTTAGTCTGGTTTGGAATTTCCTATGCTTTTGCTGTGTTGGTGTTGATGTCAGGTCATTTCCGCAAAAGGATCCATTTGGTTGCTGTTTGAAGGGCTTTTGCTTTCTTTACGAGTTTCACGGCCTAACTCTATTCCCTGTTTACATTGGGTGACTCATAATACTCATTTTCTGATTTTCATTCTTAAACTGGAAACCTTTAGTACCAGCTCGAACTCTTTTCTTTGAGGATGAAGTTCTTAAAATTGTTACTGTAATGAATTTTGGCCTGAATTTGACAGCCTTAAGGTTGACCCAAAAAATGCATTTTCTACCATGATGCTCATGTTACAATGTTGCTTGGTGCTCTCAAGGAACTTCTGCATATGGATTTTTTTTTTTTAGATTTGAAATCAAAGAGATTGCAGAATTAGGGTACATTTAAAAATTGAAATGGATTTTTGCAGGGTATGGATCAGAGGAGGAGCGGCCATGAATGAGCTTTATGCTCATGTATCAACGTTGCTTGGTGCAGATGAGAGCCACATTGCAGGTATCAATCATATTTTATGCCTCTCAATGAACTTTTGCATATGCGGTTTTTCATTATTGGATTTCGAAAAAACAAACGGGGTGTTGGGAACGTCTGATCCCTATATTTCAACTGCAAGATGAAATGGGGAATGGTGTAAAAGGTGTGATACAAGAAGGTGGACAAGGAGGAACCAAATTTTGGGATTGATGTAACTCATGTCTTTCCTGCAGGTTTGGCTGTTTCACGCTAATGCCAGTCCTTGATGGATGTGGAAGCTACAAGGCGAAGATCAGGTAAGTGTTTTGGATTCGTGTCCCTTGGGAAATTCCCCGAGTATGCTGAGTTGTTCATGTATATTCTTGATACTTTTACCATATAGTTTGCAGCTGGAACTCAAAGTAGATCTAATCCTCTCTCCATTCATTTTGATTGCTCGCCAGGTTTTAAGATACGAATGGCAAAACGTATATGAGAGTGCTTTATGCTTTTGTTGCTGGGTCTTCTCCATGGCAGCTTTAGCATGGACCTAGCCTTATAGAGTGATGGAGAAGAAATGACTGTCACAAGTGACACTTTATTCTTCAGAAGGTGCGATTCAACAACTAAACTTGCAAAGTAACTATCAGCAGCCACCCAAACTTTTTAGAAAGTAATATGTTGTGCCCAATCTGTCAGTCTTATTGCTGCACTTTTTCAAAGGAATTGCTCTTTATGGTTGATTTACATAGCAAATCATTATTCTCAACTTATGCTTGCAGTTTCTGCTGCTATTTCTTTTTCCAAACTTGGCCTTATTTGCTAATTGTCAACCCTTAATATGATTTGATAGAACCCTTTCAGATTTGCCTACCTTTTCTCATTTCAATTGCCAGGTTCTTTACTTGGAAGTAACACTTTTGCTTAATAAAGAACCTGCTCCACATGACTGTCTTTTTCTTATCCTAGAACTGTATTGTTGTTCCATAGATACTTCAGCTCAGTTTGTATTGACAAGATACATCTTAGTGGCGAGTTCCATATTTCTTTACGTTCCATTTTGTTTCATTTTCAGCTTATATGAGTCATATGAGTTTGTTCATATGGAGATTGCTCAGATCAACATGGGAATTTGAGGCTATCTTACTTTGACTTGATGCCCTGTTGGAGAGCAGTTGAGCCAATAGAGTTGACAAGTTATGAAAAACCACAATGCTGGTTGGTGTCTTTAGTTGACAAGGACCTAGATAGCTTTATTGGATTGCAATTCTACAGTCTGACTACTCGATAGTCTTACAAGGGTACACATTTGCTTTCTAGATGCAGCTAGATCTTTTTCATTTCTCGAGTTCAATGCTTTTGCCCCTTACGATTATAGGGCCATGTTTGGAGTCCTGAGTAGATCCAACTGAGCCAAAGAACTGTTTTTCCCTCATCGGGTGGTCATTGACAAGCTCCATGAAAGGTGCCTCACCAAATCAATAACCCTTAATGCTTGCTGATTTAAATGAATAGGTGATATTTGTTAATCACCTTCACTGGCTTTGAATTTCTTCGGCCACCATAAATAATGCTATATAGCCAAGTCCGGGTTTACTTTAATTAATTTGCTATATATGTTCATCTGTTTATATACAATAAACTAATGTCCTGCATTTTAGAGTCTTGGGGTAAGCAAGTTTATCTTCTCTTATATTTCAGCCATCCGTTTATGTTTTATTCTACCATGGCCTGTAACCGTTTCACGTTTTTTGTATTGGCCTGTGGAACTTATATATGAAAGCTAATCGGAGCCCGAGAATGGATGTTCTTTCAAGAATACCCTGTTATGACATCCAGACACAAGCTGTTATTCAAGTCGAGGATTGCATAATTTGGTGTTTGTGAATGAACTATGAATTTTTATAGAAGTGAAACAGTTCAAATTTTTTTTTTTTGCCACTAATATGTTGGTTGATTGATTGGAACGTGATTATGTTTATTCAAGGTATCCTTAAAGCATGTGACCAACAAATAATTTGTAACCATAGAATCAGAAAATATCTTCAACTGCAGTTTCTAATTACTCTATAGAATGTAAAACATGTACCCTATCAGAAGGTTTTGACTTTTGATATGTTTTGTTTCAGTTGTGCTAGGTTGGCTACAATTGAAGAGGGAAGAGATTAGTATGACTACTATAATGGAAAGAAGGGAGTGGAAGGACATAGGAAGGATTTCTCAGTCAATCGGTCATGCCAGGTTGATATACTGCCTTAAGTATGAACCTGCACATATCACTCCTTGAACATATAGTTCTTTGCTTTTCAAAACAAGAGGAGCATGACTTTATTTCCAATGATTAATGGGGAAGGATAAGCGGTTATGATGCTTTTTGTTATGTTGCCTATGTAAAAACTGTTATAGTTTCCCGATTGATTGATGTCACCTAATAATCACAATTGTCGCTGGAGATCAGATGCAAAGTTGGGGATTTCAACAAGTTAGCATTTGGTTCGTGTTTTTATTCATTTTCTGGATTTTATTTTGTAGTTTCACCTTTCATGCCAGCTCTCTCCCTATTTTTCCTTGGTTGTTTGGTTGATTACAAGTTGCAGTTCCCTTCTGTGCTGGAATACTCCTGGATACTGTCGCTCCAAGCACCCTTAAAGGAAGGGGTAAGCAAAGTGAAAGCAGGATGTTGAAGGAGAGTGTGATAGGGAATTGACAGGACCAACTAATTCATTTCCCCTTTCATTATCTATTGTATTCAATTAGGTTAACACTTAGTGCTGTAACTTATAAGTGCCGACTGACTCAAAGATTTGTCAATGTTATTTCTATAATCCAATATGCAGACTTCTATTGTTAGTACTGTGTGTTGGATAGTGAATTATTATCGTCCTTTGTTAGTTATAATAATTTTGAGTTCTTTTTCGACTTAATGTTCTATTCTTGCTCATTTGCGAATTGCGAAGCGTAGCGAGCGGGTAATTGCTAGTATAAGTAAACAACTCCCTCCTCTACCATATTCGCCAGCCAATTATCTTCTGAATTGGGTTCCTTCCTCCATTTTACTTTCTCAGATCACCTCTGTTTTATCAATGGCGAACCAGCAACCTGCCCGCCCCTGGTTTCGGGCCGCTTCTCTCGCTCGACCTGCCCAGCCACCGCCTCAGCCCACGGCTCCGGCGGCCGAGGTCACCGCTCCACCGCAACCACGTCCGTTCCGGACTGTCTCTACGGTGGCTCCTCCCGCTGCGAACCCACCTCCGGTAACCCGCCCGACTGGTCCGCCTGCATTGCAGCCAACTGCGGCGGCAGCACAATCTGCAAGACCAACCAACGGCGGCGACTCTGTTCAGGCTTACCCAGCTGTTCGCACCGATGGCATTGCTGCTTCTTCCCTCCCGTCCTCTCCCAAACCTGCAATTACGCCCGCTCCTACTTCTTCTCTTCCATCTTCCCCTGTCCGTAAACCGGCAGCTGTTTCCTCCTCTGTCCCTGGCTCTCCGGTTCAGGCCCGAAAGATCTTTTCAGTCACTAATTCTCCGGTGAGAAACCCTGTTCCAACCGTATCTTCGGTTCCGAATTCTCCCAAACAAGGACCGGCAGCAGCACCACCGGCGACCAAATCTGTCCCGGAGCCGCCTCCGAGATCCGTCAATCCGGCGGCCGAAACCCCACCTCAATCACCCAAGAGAAACCCCAGTGCTCCACCTCCATCGCCTCTGACCCTGCCGCCGTCTCAATTGAAACCAGCACCCGAACCCCACTTTTTCCCCGAGGCAGAGCAGAAGACCGTGGTGCTCCAGAAGACGACGGAGAACCACTCTGCCACGAAGAAGTTCTGGTCCGGCTGGAGCGGATCTGAGGGCGGCGCTGGGAATCCTCTGATGGGTCTTTGACCAAAGGAAGAGAATCAGAAGGCGAAGAAGAATCCGTCCGATTTCGAAGACAAGGGGACCAAGATCATCACCATAGCCGGAGAAAACAGGGGAGCCCTGATGGAACTGTTCCGTTCTCCCCGGAAATCGGGGAATCCGTTGTTTCCGGGGAACCCTCGTTACCTCCACAGGAGCCTCGGAACCAGTTCCGGCAGCAGCAGCGGGGAAGACGGAGAGGGGAAGAAGAACAAGGCGGAGAGGAGAGGCGGATCGGGAACAGGGAAAGGAGCGAAGCCGATGAGCGCAGTCATGAACAGTAACGTCCAGGGGATCAACAACTCGATCATGTTCAATTCCTCCTGCAGCCACAACGATCCAGGCGTCCACGTGTCGCTCTCCAGAAATCCCTCCGACGGCGGCGGTGGATTGCATCACGGGAAGGACCACCGCAGCAATGGATATGAAAGCTAGAAACAAAGCTGGGATGTCATTCTCTTCATCTTCTTACTTCGCCCTTTCCTTTTCGTGTGTTTGAATTCTCAGCATTCCATAATAACCTACAAATTGACGCGGGAATAAACGGAATTGGCCTTCTGCTGCGATGTTCCATTCCTTCTTCGATCATTCGCTTTCTGTCTACAGCTTTACTTCAAATGGGAATGTAATCGGCTGGTCCCGAATCCTAGTTTTGTATAAGTTTTGGTGTTCTGTATCGCAAATTGCAGCTATGTTTCCTAGTGGACTATATTCTATAGATAATTGAAATGCTTATTTTTATAAGTTAAACGTGCAATCAACAAAGAAAAAATATAAACGACACAAGATTATGTAGTTTTTTTTGGTAGAACAAGATTATGTAGTTTACTAACACATATTGTGCCGATTATTTTTATAAGAAGGGTAGAACATATTGTATCGATATGAGTAGAGAGTACAGATCTATATAAGAACGGATTAACCTACCTACTTCGCACAATCAAGTTCTAAGTAATATCACATGTTATGATATTCGAGCAATCAATGAATCAAAGAAAATAAACAACCCTTGAGCATATGCGTAGAATGATGTGACATTCCTTTTTTTATATGATGTGACAAGAAACCTCGCTCTTTTAACCCTCAACTTACAATCCGTCACCTAATGGTTACAAACCTGGATGACGGTTGGTTAAGACAACAAATTCAGATATTGGCACAACAGAGACTTATCAGACAACTCAACCCAAAACAAATTTACAGAGCACACTAGAACAAACGGGAAAAAAGAAAGAAAGAATCGGTCTAACCAGGGTGGGGGAGAAATATAGGATTCTACCCGCGATTATGAAATTTACAGGAGGGGGAATCTGTAAAGACTTTGAAGGAAAATTAGGTACTCCCATGGGATCTCACAGATGAAATTGATTGTGCAGACCCAGAGGCCGTCGGACTGTTGAGTTCTCGATCTCCATCTATGGCTTTCGGTTTCCCACTTAATCTTTCCATGGCTTCATGACATACCTCGATGAACCATTCGTCTTCCGGTAGTACCCTGGAAACAAATTTCGCGACAGGAGAAAAATGTTCAGTCTTTGAGAAGGCCAAAACATTGCCAACAAGAAGAATGAGACTGATTATCTGGACTAGGGTTGAGTTTCCTATTGTTGAATCAAAAGAATGCATCAATTTGGCCCCGTTTGTGATCAATACTCTAGGAGAGTGTACAGAAAATTTTACCTGTCAGGATCCATCCCAGTACTGGAAAATGCTTGCACAGCCTTGTTAATGATCTCATTGAGAACCCGGTTCAAGTTTCGTGACAGGTAACGTCCTTGGGCGGCAAAGCACGAGACGAACTTAATATCAAGATAGAACTGGGCAGATAAATCATCATCATGAAATACAGCAGCATGTTAGAACTTGGAACAGAATACAGACAACACTTTTTCGACTATAAGGTTGTTGGTTTCATACCTGCTGTAAGCCCATAGGACCAAGCGGTCTCGGGCCTTCCTCAATGTCATCCCAAAAGCTTTGATCTTCTGATAGCCATAATATGACAGTTTCAGTCAGTCTCATCGACAGTAAAGTTGCAAATCTTTCTCTCCCCGCAAACATGTCTGCTGTTAAACTAGCCATCCTGTTCAGCTTTACAAAAAGTTCCTGCAATTTTTACCCAAGCGAACAATGTTAAGAGTCGGGGTCTCATTTTTTTCCCCCTTTTATTTTGAGATATGGGGAGTCCTCTCCTAATGGGAATGGTCATATGTACTTAGAGAATATTCTGAAGCTTTTATATCAGTCTTAATGATTTAGATTGTCGAGAACAATCTGAAGCTGTTATATGCACAGTAATAATTCTTTTGATTCCATAATTTACATACCTGGAATATTGGGGAGGGAAGCGATGCTAACTCCTCCACGTTTTTGTCCATGTTGATGTACATATCAGCTGTCAGAGAGCTATCACCCTCTTCCGTGAAAATTAGATCAAGTGCATGCTGCCGGCAGAAAGTATCTTTCAACCTATCAACAGCAGCAACAAGGCTCTAAAATCCTTGAAATCTATGATTTCTACGATTTTTAACGATTTTTAAGACTCATATCAATTGGAGCAAAATTAGGCCAGTCAATTCGGGTTCTACCCATGAACTAGTCAGGTTTACTTCCCCGACCCAACATAATGAACAACACAACCCTAACCCGATAGACAACCCTTAATTTATTTTTATTCTTCCTCGTATCTTATGCTTTCAAACGTCGACGCTCAACTCCTTCCATCAACGATATCTTCCACCCTCCCAATAATTAGCTTGTAGTTTGTTCCCAGCACCCTCACAATAATCCAAATCTCCTTTCAATTGAGGCTTTCGTTCATCTCCCAATACTTCAGCACCACTATCCCTGGCTTTTTATCAACTAACAAGGGAATGTACCAATCAATGAGTTATCTTTGTCAGATGATGGTGATCAAGGAAATATGATTATTGGTGAAAGTACTTTAACTGATCCTAAGCGTAATGATATTAGTCCTTAAGCAAATAGACAAGGATGAGATTGAGGGTGAACTTGAGGATGATGATGATGATAATGTGTAAGTGATTTTAATGTTGATCCTAATGATTTTATGAGTTTTTATACTCTTAACTATTAAATAAGTGATTTACATGAGGTTTCAGGTTGTTTATTTGTGTGTTTATATTATGTACAAGAATAAATATATATGGATTTAGTTGTAGTTATTTAGCAAACAAACTTATCTTGGGAAGTAGTTATGTTATATGTGGTTGATTGTTATTCAGTATATGCATTTTTAGTACTATCTGGTGTTTAAGTGTTTATTTTAATATGAATCTTAAAATATTACGATTTTAATTTACGAGTACAATTCTACCTGAGTTTTCGATTTTACTTAAAATCCCGATTTTGACTGCATTGGGCGCCACCGTGGGGGTGTCTACGGTTCTGCGTGAAGATGGGGAAGACGAAAAAGACGAGGAAGGGGATGGTGGGAAACTCCTCTAATTACTTTTTCATTTTTTATTTTTTTAAATTGACATGTCATTAATTTAGCAGTCCAGTCAACAGTTCTGTTTTCCACATCATCAAAATACTAACAGTGTTAACGGAGTATGACGGGGACTAACAGTGAAACGAATAGTAAACTTAGTGGTCAATATGAAAACAAGTGTTTCGGGTGGCAAACGTGAAAGATTTATGTAATTTGAGTGACCAAACGTGTAATTTAGCCGACAAATATTTTTTTTTATTGAAACGAATATATATCATTTATGAGTGGTCACTACCGTACTGATTTCTAGACTGACAACAAGAGAATCTTATGGGGTGATTTGGAAGTTAGGATTCTCAGAATGTGTGTATTTATTTGATTGATTGTAACAAGGCATGAACAATGCAAGAAAACTTATGTATTTTGTCTGTTGGTTAAGGTTGCTTCATTTAACCGACATAAATAATTTATTTTACGTCCTGATTTTGTGTTCATTAATCAAAATACTCATTGTGTATCCAATATTTTCCATCCAAACACATTATCAACAGTTTCTAAAACATTCTACCATAATTACACACACAAAAAAGTAAATAACACAAATGGTGCAAACAAGATCAGATGGGTTGGTGTTGAAGCCCGCTTTCACCTTCTAAGCTTCACCCGCCTTGCCCCGTGGAATTACCTACACACACAGGAGTGGGCCTCGTGGCCCGTTAATCCTCCAACGATCAAGTCAGCTTCCACTTTAGAGAGAGAAGTAATTTCCCCAAAAGCTTAGTGACAAGCCAAACTGCCTAAATGCTTACCAACCATACTATTTATAACTGTTCATTATTTACCGTACCGTACGGACTTCCATGTCATCATCACACCATCGTCCCCCCTAGGCGCCTGGTCCCGCTACTCTCCATGATGACTTGATCCAGGCGCCTCATGAGCAGTCGTTCTTCCACCCTGCTCCCTTGCCCCCCGGGCCTTCTTAAATGGGCTCAACTCTTCTTCAGGCCCTCCTTGTAAGACTCCCTCTGGGCCCAACTCTCCTTCAGGCCCCTTCTCTTAAGACCCACTCTGGGGCTTTTCACACGCACCCGACTCCTTGCCACATCGTAGGTTTTTCTCCGTCGAACTACCCCCAACAATTGCCCCCCCAATTAGGTGCTCAAGTCATATATCTTGAGTGCCTAACTAATTGCTCTGTACTCCTACAATGCCGCCACTTTGAGCGGTCTCTCCCCCCTACTCATGCACCCAATGCATTTGCGCTTGCTTCGAATACGTATCAAGGCACCCATGCTCATTATTTTTCCATTGACGCCCTCATTACAAAACCTGGGTATTTCATTTAAAGGCGCATCCTTGTTCAACACCTATCACTAGGCGCCTCGCGTACAATTCAAACGCTCTACTGTCGCACCCTTCCATTCGGCCGCTCCTTTTCCCAACTCTTTCATAGGCGCACCCTCCTCTTCCTGTTTATTTCCCCTACTCGCCGAAGGCGCCTTCTCTTCTGAGCGAAAACCCTAAGGCGCCTTGCTCCCTCTCCCTATTTCCAAGGGCGCCTCTTCTTTGTATGAAAAAAAATCAAGGGCGCCTGCCTCACGTACAATTCAACGTTTACTATCGCGCCCTTTCTTTCGGCCGCTCCTTTTCTCAAATTCCTCTTTCATAGGCGCACCCTCTTCTTCCTTTTTATTTCTCCTACTCACCGGAGGCGCCTTCTCTCTGAACGAAAAACCCTAAGGCGCCTTACTCCCTTCTATTGTTTCTGAGGGCGGCTCTTCTCTGTTCGAAAAACTCAAGGGCGCCTCTTCTCCTGCTGCCCCCCTCACAACCGCGATTTTGAAATTCAAATTGCGCGGTTGTGATTGAACCACTTGGCCAGTGGCACGATTGCCGAGGCACGGTTGCCTTACTCTTTAAATGTAAGCTACCACTCTTCATTGCTTTTCATTCGCCCCCAAACTCCTTTCTCACTCTAACTTCTCTCTCTGCCGCGTCTCTCTTCCTCAGCGTGTTGTTCGTCGGTTTTATCATGACTAAAGCTACCGATGATGCTACGGCCGCGGGTGCTTCTCAGGGCGAAGGCGCCTCCTCCAAAAATGGTGAGTACTCGCGCTTTTTTTTTTTTTGTGTGTGGGCGCCGCTTACATCGCCAACGGTTGTGCGCCTGGTTGACTTGTTTTAGCGGGGGCGCCTACGTTGTCTCCAATCCCCACGCCCTCATCGAACTACTACGTGCCAGAAGATGGTTCGTACAA